CCCGATGCGGGACTCGATCCCGGGACTCCAGGATCATGACCTGAGCCGAAGGCAGTCGCTTAACCAACTGAGCCACCCAGGCGCCCCTGTTTTAACCACTTTTTGATGCTTTTTCTATTAGTGTTGTTCCTTATTTAAATAAAAATCATTTAACCTCTGTGTCAGTATATACTTAGTTACAAATGACAAAATACACACACATGTACACAAACAAAGGTATTCACACAACAGCTTAAACTGAACAATAGGGAAATGTGTCCTCCTATATAACAGCAACCCTTGGGTAGGGTAAGCTGCAGAGTTGGTTGATATTAGTGAATCAGCAGCTCAACACTAGGTACTCATTTTTTTCTCTCTCCACTACATCCATTGTCATCAAGTTTGAAAACATGACTCATTTACATTTAGTGGATATTGAGTCTTTCTACATGGAATTAGGCCCTTGTCTTTCATCTTATTAGGCTATATTAATATATATGTTCACTCCTAAATAATTAACCATATGCTAATTGGCTTAATCTAATTGGAATATATCTTTGGTGTTATATGCTGCATGGAGGGAGGGGTTCTTTTAGAATGACAACAAAATAGAAGCACGCTGGGTAGGCAACCAAGAGAATCCACTAAATTTCTCCAGAGATTTTCTTCCAACTGAATCATTTAGAAGTAGCTCTATGGAGGTAGGCCTATGGAAAGGATTGGGGAATTTTTCCAAAGCCATTCAGTTCTAAGACTTTTAAATATTGGCTCTTTTAAAATGTATCACAAATGTATTTTAAAAAATAAAATATGAATTGATTAGTTGCAAATACAATTCTTTCTTCATAGAAATGAATTTTTAACCATGAGATATAAAAGGGAGCATGCACAAGCTGTATTTGATCATCTCGTAAGTGAGAAAAAAATCTATGAAGAGAGACTCTATGAGGAAGAACAGAGATATCGAACACTCATTACCATGAGGCAAAAAACTCTGGCAGATATTAAAGTGAGTATTATTTTTATACTGTCTTAGAATGAAAGAAATATAGTGATAGTCAAAATAGCAGCTAGTCTGAGGCACTCATTTTTCATCTTGAAGTAGCAAAGGTTTAAATTCTAAAAACTTAAAAACTTTTAAAGATATATGTAATATCATAGTGTATTTTTATAAGCTATTTTTAATCCTGATGTTTATATATCCAATTATTATATATATTCATATACTCAATTACTTTTTTCCTTTTTACATTTTCAAAGACATTGTTTAATTCATTTTAAAAAATGGAGCAAATATACATTAAACAAACAAGTGTGTCATTGAATGAACATACCATCTATAGTGCTATTTCTGTGATCCTTCCTATAGAAAAGTATTAATAAAGGAACAATAATTTTATTAATAATGCTAACTAATATTCTTCCATTTTAAATATGGCCATCACATAGAAAAAGGGTATTTTGGGAGGAGGGGGCCTAAAAATATGCAAATAATTGGTGCCATCTAGTGGCAATAAATGATGCCTCCTCTTGGAGAGGTTCCTGAAACATTGATGGCTAAATCTCAAGATTTGTGATATATGAATGGACTAGGGAGGCTTAGACTCAAATGCACCCCTCAAAAAGAGAAGGCTTAAGTTATTTACTGATTTAAGCATCATTCTCTGCCTCATATTTTATCACAGCAGTAGGATTAGCTGTTTGAATTCAACCACATTTTCCAATCGTACTGGTGCTGAGAACACAGTGGGATCTCAATAATCATTTATTGACTGGCATTTCAGCACTTTAATGGAACAATAATAATTAGTGAAATGGCAAAATATGGTCAGCAGGAGAGAGACAAAGAAAAAATCCTGTATAACTAGCCTCTCAGAAATGGAGATTTGTATTTTTTTCATCCAAAATCTTGTCTCTGCCATCCCATTCTGAAATGTACTTACCTCCAGCCACTTGTCACATCACATGGTTTTGTAGTACGAGTCTCTATCTTGTTTTGCTCATTCGTTTTTACTTGTTTGTTGTCTGCCTGCATCTTGCAATACTAACGTATTGTCAGTGAGGACAGGAGATTTTCTGTCACATTCTTTGTATCCTAAAAGCTCAGAACTGTGTCTGTCACAAGGGAGGCACTCAGTGAATAGTCACTGAATGACTGAATGAATAAATGGATGAACATATGCTTTTTTGGTAATTTTGCTGCCCACATGCATGATAATGCCTGAAAGCAGGAGCATTTCAGAGATACTTTCCATACTGCGCCAGCCTGATACTTTAGTTGAATACTTATGTTGTATGCAAAAGCTGAATCTGTCCCTTTCTTTCTCTTTCTCATTCTCCCTCTCTCCTTGATAATGCATGAGAAATTTGCCATCTAGTCTGTTCTCTCTAGATGAAAATTATTACATTGTCTATTGCTTTCTAGCAATTAAGGATTCTGCTAAATATCTGAATAATACTTCTCAAGTAATCTTCAATTTATATGAAATTGTCTCTTATAAGCTCTTGGATAGCTCTTTGTTATGCATTTACCCTATGTGACCAGAAGCATAGAGTTTGAACAGGCATAGTTTAGATGTGATTTATCTCATCATTAGTGACACTCTTTATGATTATGATCAGTTTTTGGCATTAAATAGTGGAAAGACAATGTGATTTTTCATAAAACTATTCTCATCCCTGTTTAGAAATTGGATGAGATAAAAATTTGTAAATATGTATGTAATATGAAGCATTCTCATAAAGAAACAAGTTTCATTAGGCATCATTATAGATGTGGTATTACTAATCTGGAGTGTCCCCTCTGGGCAAAGGAATTGATCACAATTATGGATCATCTGAAGGAATTGTTTAATAAAAGACTATAAAGGCCACAGTACAAATAACTGGGGATGTAGGAAAACATGCCATAGAATTAGAAATACAAACAGCCAATAAAATGGTTTAAGAAAAAAATATATACAGACTTCAGATAGCATACAATGTAGTTCTGGAGTTAAAATCTACCTTTTTTGGCCCCACATCGGGCTCCCTGCTTGGCAGGAAGCCTGCTTCTCCCTCTCCCGCTCCCCCTGCTTGTGTTCCCTCTCTTGCTGTCTCTCTCTCTCTGTCAAATAAATAAAATCTTTAAAAAAAAAAAAAAATCTACCTTTTTTGGTAGGTAGTTCCATATCAGATATCTTTAAATGGAAGATTTTTTAAATGTTAAATGGAGTTTTTATTAACTGCCTATAATTTGCAAATGCAATTAAGATTAAAATTTCAGTATAGCATATTCATCAAAGTACTATAGCTCTAGTTACTGATCTTCCTTTTTTGTTACTGGAAAGATCCAAACAAAACTGGAGTTTCAGGTATTTTAATCTATTATTAACCATCCTCAGAAGTCCCACTGCCTTTCTATGTCAGTGCCTTTCTCTATTGCTCTTTCTATATCCTTGTTCTTCTTCCTATAATTTAGGGTATGATATGAGAAGGGTATAATGGATTACATTGGATCTTTGGCAGACAGAACAATTTCCAAATTGAGTCTGAAAAACACAATCTCCCAATATTTTGTAGAATTTATTAGTTTTTATTTGGCTTCATATTTATATTTCACTCTCAGGAAATACTTACAATAGTCCCATATTTGGCTATTAAATCATTTCTTGACCATTTCATGTGGAAAATTCTTAGCTTAATACAGAGGCAGTGATTCACTGCCTCATTAGACAGCCAGGTACAGCAATAGTAAAAATCAGAAACAAATTTAATCTCTGAACTAATTTTAAAGATTATTAGAATTTTAAAAATAATTCTCCTATTGTCCACTCATCACTTCATTCACACAACTAGTTCAGGGCACTCAGTGTTGGATGACCAAAACCCTAGCCTCAATTTTAAAGATGCAATCAGCAGAAAGATGGAAGATGTGAAAAACAAACTTGAATTTAGTAACAATGCACAAATTACATACAATAAATTTTGTCGCTGGCCCAGTGACCTGATACATTAGGTATGATTAAAATAAAATAAAAGCCATTACGTATTCTGTGATCTTAATAGTGGGAAATGTATGTGTGAAAAACCTGGAAACATTTAGAACTGAGCAGTGAACCTCCTAGGCAAGAATAATTTGCCTTAATGTTAATTTTCTTGCCACGAAAAGATTTTAAAATAACATGAAATTTTTAAAAATTAGGAACATGGTTTGCATAATATTTTTAACAATTCTGATAGGATTAAGCATTAATCACATGTAATAATATTAATTCGGTTCATCATATTGCTTTTTTAAAGCAACTTATTCAAATCATTCCTCAACATTTTAATCTGAAGACTGGTAGCAAAAGCGTGCTAGTTTTATACTGGGGAACCCTTCAAGTTTTTGCACAGACCCAGTGCTGCAATGATCGTAGGTACTTAGAAATCAGGAGAGAGTAACACTAGAATGTGAAGGAAAGTTGTAGCATGGGTATAAGTGATTCCCAAATATAAATTTAATGTATTTTGGATGTTTACTTAGAGCATGATCTGTTAAACAAGGAAGAAGCCTCTCTTCTTTTTGCATCTCTCTCCAGCATCATGTTACATCTTGCAGATATGTCCCAGAATTTCTACTAACACTACATTAAAGCACTATATATGAAGTTTGAATAGGCTTTTTATTTTTTGAACTAGCAACCAATCACCATTTTAGCTTTTTTCCCCCAAACTACCTAGAGGCATCTATTAAAATCACTTGGCCATAATCCATTTCAGTTTTTATGTACATTGGTATTTTTTTACATTATTGCGATAATACTCTATGAACACACTTTGGATGTTATGCTTTTTCCAGGTAACATTAATTTCCTAGTGGGACTGCCACTTTTGAAATTCCTCTCCCCTCCCCACTGCAGAGTAATAGCATAAATATATGATTATTCTCTTTTAGTCAATTAAAGTCATTATAGTATGAGTTTCCAAACATCAGATTGCATTCTTAAGTATACCTAATTGGTTATGCTTTATTAAAATTGTAATACATTACTGGATTCAATTTGCAACCATTTAATGCTGAATATCTATTGGTCTATAGTTCTTCTATTTTGTACTTTGTTCAAGATATTGGTATCAGAGATTTACAACAGTTTTTAAATCAAATAAGAAGGTTTTCTTTTTTTTTTTCTTTGTTAAATAGCATAACACATTTCAGTTCCTTAAAGTTTTTAGAAATTCTCCCATGATACTATCAAGATATGTGAGGAGTTAGAGATTTTGCCTCACTTGCAAGCTAACAAGTTAGCCTGCCATAGTTTCACAGATGCTGGGAGAAGGCATGAAACTCCTGAATGAGAAGCAGAGATTTTATTATGTCCTACACAACAGCAGTGGGAACTTCATGTTTGCATAGGTTCACCTTGTCTTCAGGTCTCCTGGGATAATGGGAAAGTGGTCAGATGGATGCTACATACACAAGGAATTTTTATTGCAGCTGATGAACTTGGAATGTAGGAAAGCCCCAGTTTTTTATGGAAGCTTCTAGCAAATGTGCCCAGCCTTTGCCCCAGAAGTCATTACATTTGCTATGCAATCTTGAAAAGGAGGTTCTGGATAAAAGTTGTCATAAGTGTATAAACATGGTGGTAAATGCCCCCAATATATATATATATATAGAGAGAGAGAGAGAGAGAGAGAGAGAGCGCTTGACCTTGATCTTTTCTGAAGAAAAACATTTTAAAATTTATTCAGTTTATTCTTTGGTTTTTGCATGATTAATGTTTTCTAATTCTTGAGTCAATATGGTAAAGCTATATTTTTCTAGAAAAGATGATTTTAACGAGGTTTTCAAATTTATTATCAAGTTGTATGAAATATATATTTTTTCATTTCTTCTGCTTCTGTCGTTATATTCTTTTCTCATGCACCAGACTTTTTTTTCTTTTCCTTGATTGACCCTGTTAAATTTTTCCCTCATAGTTGTTTTTCCACACACTACAAATTCTGATTTATTCACGATGATCATTTTTGTTCTCTAGGTCATTA